TCTGTGAAGTCGCTGCTTCATTTACCACTCCCACCCCCCACCCCCTGCCCCAGAGGAATGGCACAGAGTAAATGGCAGGATTACAGGAGGGACTCACAGTGTAGGACACGTGGCCTTTAACGAGACCGTGCACAGTCTTCCAAAGGCCCCGAGTGAAGCGCTGGGAGCATAGCTCAGCCAGTATAAAGCTTGCTGACATAAGCAGGAGTCTCATCTCCAGAAGCCCTGAGCTTATAATCACAGCCAGCATGGGGGAGGCAAAGACAAATGGATCCCTGGGGCTTGCTCCTAGTTTAATTAATGAGTTCCAAGCCAATGAGAGGCCGTGCCTCTCCACTTCGAAGGAAGAAAAAAAGGGAGAAGGGAGAAGGAGGGACAGAGACAGGACAGCACCTGAAGAAATACAGAGATTGACCTCTGACCTCTACCAGCACTACCTGACCCTCTACACACACACACACAAAGAGAGAGAGACAGAGAGACAGAGAGACAGAGAGAGAGAGACAAAGAAAGACAGAGAGACACAGAGAGAGAGAGAGAGACAGAGAGAGACAGAGAGAGAGAGAGAGAGAGAGAGAGAGAGAGAGAGAGAGCTCAGAGTAAGGCACACAGGCTACATCCTCACTACTACAGAAAACAGTTTACATTCAAATCTCAGTCCAATCACAGTCCAGTGTCCTGAAAGCAGCAGACTCTAAAACAAATGAATGTATTAAAGGAAGAAGCGCATACAGGGTGTGACCCTGGAAACTCATTCTCACCAGTAGAAGGAACCCAAGAAGGGAAGACTTCACTGAGAGTGACCATGGCAAACACAGGTGCCTCTGAGCATCTCAGATGAGGGTACACACAGGGATAGCCACCCAAAGCACACTTCTGACATATACCCCACCACAGATACCAAGCAAGATAGGCAAATGATGTCCACAACCACCATGAAGAGCTTAGGAAACCGAGCAGGTGTCTTAAGTTAGGGTTTTCTACTGCTGTGAAGAGAAACCATGACCAGGACAACTCATAGAGAAAACATTTAGTTGGGGTGGCTGGCTTACAGCTTCAGAGGTTCAGTCCATTATCATCATGATGGGGAGCATGGCAGGGGTGCAGGCAGACACGGTGCTGGAGCTGAGAGGTCTACCTCTTGCGGGCAACAGGAAGTCAGCTGCAGTCATACTGAGGGAGGCTTGAGCAAAAGAGACCTCAAAGTCCATCCCCACAGTGACACACTTCCTCCAACAAGGCCACACCTCCTAGTAGTGCCACTCCCTTTGGGGACCATTTTCTTTCAAACCACCACAGAAGATTCCAGATGAGAAAGAAATTTAGGGTTTTTTTTTTTTTCTAGAGGCTACAAGTCTGGAAGAGAAGCCTTTCTGGAGGTACACATGGTCAGAAAAGGAGATTGAGTGTAGTTTTTATCAGTGTCCATTCCTAAGCAGCCAGCCAAAAGCATGTCTGTCTAGGTAACAGCAGGTAACAGAGACAGGGTATCCTGGGGAGGGTGTTGTCGGAGTTACATGTAATTCAGTACTTAATTCTTTCCCCCCTGGAATGGGCCAAGCAACAGAGATGACATGGAGGGAAGAGAGGAGTCGGCAATCAGATCCAAAAGGTGAAGCAGAGCCGAGGAATTACGCTGAAAACCAGACAGTACTCGTCCAAGATACTCAGTGCACAGGTACAGAAGAGAGCTGACTCGAGGACCTCTTTGTCATTTATTTTAAGGGCATACATGCTAAAATTCTGGACATCCATAGAGAGATGTGTAGGCTACTGTGGGGACCCAAAGAGCTATCCTCAGATCAAAACTAATTAAGTGCTTTGACTAATTAGTCTTTTGGGGGGCACATCTCCATACTGACTCCATCGAGATTGAATCGAATCATTCAGTTAGGCTAGTGTTGGGGATAAAACTGAGACATGGGACAGAATTCAAAAGACTTAAAAAATTTTTTTTGTTTTTACAAAACAGGGTTTCTCTGTATTGTTTTCGAGGCTGTCGGTCCAGCCCAGCCTCAAACTCACAAAGATCCACCTGCCTCTGCCTCCCGAGTGCTGGGATTAAAGGCATGCGCCACCACCGCCCGGCTAGACTTTAAAAAAAAAATTTAAGAGTGACCCTGCCACTCCGGTCCAGGACAGGCTCTCTTTTGACATACTACCTAACTTCTCCTAGGAGGGGAAAGTTCATTACTTTGTGAAACCTGTTTTGCCAACAAAAATTCATCCTAAACTGAGTGGTGGTACTGCACACCTTTAATCCCAGCACCGGGAGGCAGTAGCAGGTGGATCTCTGTGAGTTTGAGGCCAGCCTGGTTTACAAAGCAAGTTTTAGGACAGTCAGGTCTACACAGAGAAACCCTGTTTCAAAAAACAGACTAAGTCCCTCCTAACCTGAGCTGAACCCTTCTCATTTACAATTAATTTACTTCCCTCTAATTCTATTCCATTTTGTGAGATTTTGTATATAAAAGGTCTGTCAAGCTGGGAATGGCAGCAGTGACTTTACCCAGCAATCCAGACGCACACAGGCCAGACAGAGCTAGATAGAGTGAGACATTGCCTCAAACAGAGTGCTATTATTACCCTAGACACTCTCTTTTCTCATCTTCCCTCCTACCTGTCAACCAGCTCTTACTTCCTGTCTGCTTATGTTTTTGAGACAGGGTCTCTCTATATAGCCCAGGCTATCCTGGAACTCACTATGTAGAGCAGCTGGCCTCGAACACAAGAGATGTGTCTACCTCTGCCACCACTCCCAGCTTCCAGTCAGCTCTTATAATGATATAGCTTCAAAACCATTCTCTTGATTCTAAAGTCTCTTTGAAAGAGACTGGTGATAATACACTAGACCTGCTCAAATTCATACAGATGACAATCATGCACACCCCTTCAAAGACCATCTGGAAAAGGGTGTGATGGGGCAGTCCTGTATTCCTAGCACTTCAGATTCAGGCAGAAGGGTGAGGAGTTCAAGATCAGGCTGAGCCACAGGAGATCCTGTCTCAAGGGATGGGAAAAGCCACGTGACAGTGTTATGTTTTGGTCTTTATGTAGCTGAGAAGTCGAATCACCATGTTCTTTTTCATAGAAAATCCTTTCAAATTAGTCAATAGCAGACTTATAAATAGTTTTGGTTTTGTTTGTCTTTTTGAAACAGAGTCTCTATATGTAACCTGGGTAAGCCTGCAGCTATGTAAACCAGGTGAACTTTGTGCTTTCAGGAATCTGACTCCAGAGTGCTGGGTAATAGGCATAAACTGCCAAGTACAAAAGAAATGTATGGCCGGGCGTTGGTGGCGCATGCCTTTAATCCCAGCACTCAGAGGCAGAGGCAGGCAGATCTCTATGAGTTCAAGGCCAGCCTGGTCTACAGAGCGAGTTCCAGGAAAGCCTCCAAAACAATATAGAGAAACCCTGCCTCAAAAAACAAAAAAAAAGAAAGAAAGAAAGAAAGAAATGTATGTTGAGTAGGCAAGATGGCTTAGCAGGACTTGTCATCAAATCTTAGAACCCCAGTTCAATTCCCCAGAAACCACACAGCAGAAAGACAGAAAAGACTCCTGAAAATGTTTCTCTAGTCTCCATATGTGGCAAACACACACACAGAGAGAGAGAGAGAGAGAGAGAGAGAGAGAGAGAGAGAGAGAGAGAGAGAGAGAGAGAGAGAGAGAGAGACCCCTATAATGTAATTAAAAAAAATTTTTTTGGTTTTTACAAGACAGGGTTTCTCTGTATTGGAGGCTATCGGTCCAGCCCAGCCTCGAACTCACAGAGATCTGCCTGCCTCTGCCTCCGGAATGCTGGGATTAAAGGCGTGCACCACCACCGCCCGGCCTAATTTTTAAATTTTTAAGTAAACAAATCTTTCCTAGTATATAGTTGATTTCCTCTGTTGAAATACATATCTCGAGCCAAGTATAGTGGCATACCCCTATAATCCTAGTACTTGAAGAAACTGAGTCAGTGGGATTACGAGTTAGGGACAGCCTAAGGTATATAGCAAGAGGCTGTCCCAAAATAAACAAAACCCAGAGCCCCTATGGTAGGCCAGCAGAGTCCTTCTTTTAGTTCCCATATGCTGCCCTTCTCTCTCCAGATATGAATTCAGAATGTGTGCTCAGCATGCTAGAGGCTCTGGGGTCAAGGGCCCGCACTTCAGGTCAAACCACATTCATTGACTTACATAAATAAGCAAACAAACATAGCTCATGGCAGAAACCCTGTCTATGCTCACAGCACTAACGCCAGTTCTCACATCCCTAGTGCAGAACCAATAAACTCTCAAATCTTCCCAGCATTTAGAAGCTACCACATTCATTCCCCCTGGTGGCCCCTATATCAACCTCTTCTCCAAAAGCCCCCACCACTCCAAAGATTGCAGCCTTCGGGGCCACAGGTGCCCATGCCAGGGCACACAAATTTCTCAGTACAAAAACCTTACCCCAAACAAAACGAAACGTATTCCTTTTCCTTTCATGAGCCTCCCTACACCCTACCTCTTAAGTTTGACTCAAATTCTACACCCACTCAAATCCTACACTCAACGTGGTGGCCCACACACGCACTCTTTAATCCCAGCACTAGGGAGGCAGATGCAAGAGGATCTCTGAGTTCAGGCACCAGCCTGGTCTACAAAACAAGTTTCTGGGCAGCCGGGGCTGCTATACCGAGAAATTCTGTCACGACACAGAACAAAACAAAGCAAAAGCATGACTCAAATCCTAAACCCTAAGTTTGCCCAGAGACTTTGTCTGCAGTTGGCTTCCTCCCTTGGAGAGCCAGACCCCTGCCTTCAGCAACCACAATAGTGTGGCACCCTCTGGTTTCTGGGGCGACAGCTCCTCTTTCCAATCATTCTCTAAGGACCGAGGCCAGCTGTCCTCTCGTCTACTTCCCAGAGCCGTCTCACACACACAGCGGAAGTAACAGGCATTTCACCTCATTCCCAGCCATTTTTCTCCGTTCCCCCCACACCACTCTGGTTTCTTCGAACTTACCTTTCTTGGCGCACTCGAGGACTCAGGAACCGGCTGGAATCATCATCGTGGCTGCTCTGTTGGCTGCTCTGCTGGCTGCTCTGCTGGCTGCTGGGGGAGAAGACACAGGATGTGAACCGTTAAAACTTCTCCTGCTTTCTCAACCCTGGGGGAGGTCGTCTACACCTCAGCTACACGAGTTACAACATGGAGCGCGAGTGAAAGCAGAGTGTTTCTGTGGAAGCAGGGGTGTTGAGCTGGGAAGACAATAGCCAGCTCAAAGTCACACCCACGACATCCAAAGCATCTCTGTGGCTGCCCCGGGCTGGAGAAGGAAGAGGCTAACCTACTGCTACCCAGGCCCTTAGTATGTATGCCTCTGTGGGCAAACACTGACGCTTCCAACTTGGTTACTTAAGCTCTCTAATGGGATAGTGACCCATTCTTCTCAACCCGCCCAAGTCCCCATGGAGCTGGTGCAGACAGGAGAGGGAGGGGCTTGTAAGGTTTGAGAGAGGGAGACTGCCAGAAGGCAGAGACTTGAAGGATTCTATACCACATACTAGGTCCACTGCCCTGCCCCCAGGGAGGGCTGAGAGTAAGGGAAGAGAAAGGCAAAGCCCCCATCTTCCTATTCTGTGATCTTAATGAGTACAGAGCTCAATTCAAAAGCAGAGTTCTGAGGCTGGGAGTGGTGGTCCATGCCTTTAATCCCAGCACTTGGGAGGGCAGAGGCAGGCAGATCTTTGTGAGTTTGAGGTCAGACTGGTCCACAGAGAGAGTTGCAGAACAGGCTCCAAAGCTACACAGAGAAACCCTGTCTTGGAAAAAAACTTATTTTAATAGAATTTTGCTTCAGTGTAGCTGACCCATGAAATTTCATATTCCTACCAACCACCATGGGGGATGGGAGTTGGAGAAGAAATTCCAACTCCAGTTGGAGACACAAGCCTCAAGACAGGTGTACCAATGTATCCCATGGAAAGGAAGAGGTGTCTAAAGTTCAGGGTTTATATCATTTATAATACTCAAGGGGCTCAACTAACCCAAAAGATCATGACAAGCATCATGGCCTCTCTGAGAAAGAGGCTGACTTTGATCTAATTTGGCCATAACAGGTTGGTACTTCCCACTCATCATACCCTTCTTCTGGCAACCAGAACTTAAGATTAAGCTAATTAAAAGAGATCCTAGACCAAAATGATAATATATATACCAGTTTCAGAAAAAGTAATTTTGACCTGCTTTAACAAGAGATTCAAGAGATTCCACTAGATGGTACTGTTGTTTCCCAAATCACAACTAAACCAACGCCACAGTTACTAAAGTGAGTTGATTTTTAGGCGCCCCCTTCTGGTCTTCCCATGGTTTGGAAGTTCAGTTTACAGGAAATAAAAACAACTTGTAGTCACCTTCAAAATGTGTATTGGTTCCAAGTAATTAATAAATGAGGGTCAACATGATGATTCAGTTGACAGTTACCTCCAAGCCCTGAGACCAGCAACCTGAGTTCTATCCCCAGAATTTATGCTGTGGAAGGAAAAAAACCACTTACCAAAAGTTATCTCTGGCACACACTCACACTCACACACACACACACACACACACACACACATTTTTTGAAAGAGAAAAAAACCCAGCCTGCACACACTCAACAATTACGTATGTGCACTTATGCCAACAGGAAGTGGCATTAAGGCAACGGCTGAGTCTAGGCCACAAAGCCTAGGCCACAAAGCCAGATCCTGTAGTGGGAAGGCGGTATGTCTACGGTGTGGTAATACTCTGCTGTGGGTTGAATCCACATTTCTCCACTCCCTCCTTGTATGACTGACTGATTTATTTCGAGACATTTTGCTCTTCTACCAGAGAGACATTACTAATAGATAGGTCTCACCTCACAAGGCAACTGTAAGGTTTGAGAACAAATACATGTTAAGCGAGGGTGCCAGTGTTTGGTACACATTAACTGCTTTGTAATGCCAGGTGGTACACCAGGGATAAAGCATGGTTTTGTAGAGGACAGCACAAAGGTAGAAGATGCCAATCAGACACAGACTGTCTTCAAGAGAGAGGGGGGGAGAAAAAAAGATGACTCACAAAGCCTGAGATGCTTCGGGAATGGAAAACAAAAGGCCACTTCTTTCTGGGGTCCGCCAAAGAAGTGTCTCAATAACAAATGAATGGGAACAAGCAGGGCCCGACATACCTGTCACCCCAGCACTCAGGACAGAGGCAGGAGAGGTCATAGCTAGCTGAGTCCCATACCCAGAATCCACATTTAAAAAGCCAGCTGTGGTGGTTCATGCTTGTGATCCCAGTACCAGGAAAGCAGACCCAGGCAGACCTCTGGCGCTCACTGGCCTACTTGCCTGGAGGACTTGGCCAGTGAGAGACCCTGCTTCAAAGAGTAAAGTAGACAGCACCTGAGGTTGACATCTGACTTACACACACACACACACACACACACACACACACACACACACACTGGGGGGGGCAGGGATTCTTGAATACACCTAAAGCAGCCAGCAGACTCCCACGTGCTTGCTAAAGCAGAAGTTTATCCTAGATGGTCCCATTAATATTCTCAAAATTGGGAAGGGCTAGGGGAAATCCATGGAAATTCACAAAGCATACTCCAGAAGGCCGGCCGGGTTGGGAAGCTTTGCAATGTATGCTGGACAAATATCCTTGACTCCACTGAACGACTGTCCTCCTCCCCTCCCCAAGGTACAGGCCGACCTCACAAACCACAAGCAGACACCCTTGTGCCCTCTGAAGGCAAAGCTTGACGACTGGCAAGATGAGGCCTGGCATCTTTGGGATATTTTATTTAGTTTAGCATCTTAATTTTATTTTTTCAGGTCTGGGGATAGAGCCCAGGGCTTTTCATGTGTGTGTGTGTGTGTGTGTGTGTGTGTGTGTGTGTGTGTGTGTGTGTGTGTTTAAATGGCTTAAATGCTCTACCATGGAGACATCAACTTGCTCTTATTTTGAGACAGTCTCACTGTTTCCCAGGTTGACCCTGAACTCACTATGCAGTCCAGGCTTGATCGTTCAAGCCTTCTGCTTCAGTTTCCCCCAGTAGGTCAGAGTCCAGGTGCATACCACCATCCTGCCCAGCCCCCTTTCTAAAAGGGCATTTTCGGAGCAGAATCAGCTCTTCCTCTCCCAGGCAACGATGCACTGCTCTCCTAAGCCTGGAGGGAGTTTGGAGACTTAGGTGGACCCAAGCTGCCATGAGGCTTGAAAGATGGAATCCAGTATTCCCCAAGCTTTGATGGAAGCCACCCACACCAAGGCTGTGGAGACTAAAGTGCCCATTTCTCTGCTTTTGGCAATAATCTGCCGACTGCTGCATTAGCAACAATTATCCCATGCTAATTGGAAGTTTCATAACACTGCAAGTGACAGTTACAGCTGCCTTTAATGAATAAACAAGGAGAAATAAATTCTCCAGGGCTGTGGATGTGGTAGGAACAGATGAACTGGCCTCTCCCTGGCTTTGCTTCTTTCTTATTGGCCTTATAACCCCCGGGCCGGCACACTTAATCCTCTCTTAGCCTAATTCCTCAAGAAATGGAGACATTACTTAATCCTCAATTTATAGAGCCGGGAATTGAATTGCAAGGATTCCGATCATCATGCCTGGAGTCACGGAGACACCAGTTCTAGTCTTGAATCTACCACTTAGTGGAGGAGATGAGATTTACTTTTTTGAAAGGTCAGGTGTGCATAACAACACATGGCCTAAAAGAGTGTGATGAGGTTTAGAAACGGTAGAGATCATGGCAGGTGGTGAATACCAATTGCACAGAATAGCCACAGGTAGCTTGCCTGATAGAAACTTTGAAACTGCCAAGGAAGCACAGGGTAGTAACAGAGGAGATTCTGAAGGCTTTTGTTGTTTGTTCTTGTTTTTGATGTGCCAGTGTCTTTGAGGTCCCCAAGCATGCTAAGCAAGCACTCTATTGTGGAGCTGTAATATCCACACAGAGGAATTTTTTTAACTTTCTTATGAGTAGGAGGGCATACACTTGTGTGGAAGTCGGAGAACAACTTACAGCAATCAGTTCCGTCCTTCCACCATGTGGGTCCCAAGGATTGAACTCGGGTCCTCCGGGTTAGAGGACGACACCTTTACTTACTCATTGAGTCACTGACTCAGCCCCAAGAGAAATGGTCAATGAGAAAAAACGTTAAGAGCCACTGGCTTGGAAAATAGATACACCATCGCAATTGGAAGAGAAAACTGCATTCCCATGCTGAATTATTTCCATGTATAAAACAACTTTAAGCTGGGTTGTGGTGGTCCAAGCACTCGGGAGTCAGAGGCAGGCAGATCTCTGTGAGTCTGAGGCCAGACTGGTCTACAGAGTGAGTGCCAGGACAACCGGGACTACACCGAGAAACCCTGCCTCAAAAAAAAAAAAAAGCAAGATAAAGTAAGATAAAAAGGACTCTAGTGTTTACAATTTCAGTTTGAGTAGGGAAGGCATATTGAGAAAGAGAAGAGAGAATAAAGAAAACCGGTTTCTGTTTGTCACCTGACAAGCAAACATGGGAAGGGCTAATAATAGAAACAAGTACACAGATTGGGACACTGTGAATGACTGCCAGCCTCTTACACAACACACCTAATAGTCTCAGAGAGCACTTAGAAAATCACAGGCTGGAGCAGACTGCCTGTCTGCCTACAGGGTTTGGAGGCTCACTTCAGCTTAACGGCTCCCGTGAGAGCCTGCAGCAAGAGCAGTAGCTGGACAGAGATTTGGGAGTCCAGAGTGCAGCTCAGAGTTTCCCTCACTTATCCAAACCCACAAACTCTCTTCGGTTGAAGACTTAGTTTTACCTCGAAACATGCCCGTGTCTGTGCTTCCTTTGGTTTTGGTTTGATTTGCTCCGTTTGAGACCCAGTGCTGTTCCGTAGTCTAGACTGTCTGGAATTTAACGATGTAGCCCAGGCTGGCCTCAAAGTTGCAGAGGTCCTCTTGTCTCCATCCCCCCACCCCACCCCCACTCCCCGGTGCTGGGATTACAGGTGGGGACCACCACACCACTGTTCTTTGGTTTGTTTAAACAGATTCTCACTGTGTAGCCCAGAGTGGCCT